CATTTGACTTGTGTCAAAATAATTAGCAATCTATGCTATCAAGCCAAGTTTCATCAAAAATCAATACTAAATGACGAAAATCTCGACTCATCATCATATATCAGTGCTTTCAAAAATTCCTGATCTTATAGCCTAAAGTCAAATACTTTCTGTTGAACCTGCTTTTGCATAAATAACCTTTTCTCACATGTCTTATTATCACTCATAACATAAATCTAAACTTTTATAGAGCATTGTTTATCACCTTGAAAATTTCAGCGTTGACTACGGACTAGGGATCTCAATTAATGTTTACTTTTAGTTTAATTTATGAGTACATTAAATTATCAGTAATGTTAGATTTGAAATAAATAAAGTATTTTTTTTACAATTCATATTTCAGAATAAATATAAATTATTTGCTTTTTATGATTTACTAAATCGATTGAAAATAGACTAACCTATCTCTTGACGAAGAAGTCAAGTTCAATCTGTTATTTTCAACTCTTCTTTTGCAGCAGTCAACGTAGTCGAAAACTAAATAACAATGGAATATAAAGTGCACCAAAGGCGAAAGAGAAGCAAAACAAAGAATAGATTATCGTCAATCATATATCATTCGATAGAGCTCATCGAGCTGATCAAGAGTAGCACCTTTTTATCTACTTTTGATAAAGTTTTAGTCAAAAAACCTTCGAAATACAAATAGCATGAGAAAAAAAATTGAATTTCGATTGTTAAGAAGAAAATCGAATATTTCACATTTTTACGTGCACTTTAACTTTCCAAAACTACTTTATTCAAATTTAGAATCTCAAAATGAGTATATCTATCTGTGTTTGACAATGTTTCCTCATTTTTGTTTCTCTCAGTAAAATGCAATAGGCCCATTCACACCAACATGTAATTCTAACAGATTCAAAGAAACAATAATCTGAGGGAAAATATCAAATGATAATCGCGAAAAAAAGATTGAAGATGGACTATAATGAAAATACCATAGATTACGGAACGTAGTAAAGATATGTTTAACTATAATAAAAATTATTTTTTTCTATTAAATAATAATATTGATAATAAGTGATAAAATTTGATTTTTGAAATTACGATTGGAAATTGTTTTGTCTAAATAATTAAAAGATAGGAAAAAACGTTGAGAGTTATATTTTATTAGATTCTTTGTTGTTTTGCTTAAGTCTTAGTATTTATCAAGGGTGTCTCCCAAGATCGTGAGAATCGGTATGCAATAAAAATGAATAAAATGCTAGAGCTTGGCTGAGGAAAAACGAAAATTTCTCAAGATTAGAGGAAAGAAAGAGGTGATGCTCCCGACTTCGCCTTCTTTACGCTCGGAACATAGTAGAAAGAAAACAAGGAATCTGGAGCAATTTCTACAATTATCGTAGCTAATAACTTGTTATTATATGGAATTATACTTCGTACTTCATGCTGATTATCTGTGCTGATCCTACCCTTTTTGCTTGTAAGATTTCAAACAAAAAAATAAATGTTTTATTGAATTTTTCAACAAAACTCTGAGTCTTGCCAGGGCTGTCGCGAGATGTTAAAGAATTGGGGGGAGGGGAGGTGACGAAAAATTTTTGGAAAATTTTTCAAAAACCTCTATAAATTATCGAAATTTTGAAAAAAGAAATTTACGGATTTTTTGAAAATTTTTGGAGATCTTTGAAAATATTTGAAGGTTTTTCAAAGATTTTTGAAAAAATTTAGAAATTTTTGATAATTTTTAAACGATTTTTGAAAGTGTTTCGAAAATTTCTTGAAAGTTTTTGAAAAAAATTGAGCAGAAAAAACAAAATTTCCAAAAAATTGAGAGGGGGTGACCCCCGTCCCCCTCCCCGCTCGCGACAGCTCTGAATCTTGCACAGATTATGCCGGTAGTAAACTTTTGACTTGAAGCTTTGCAGATATGATGCTTTTAATGTGACTAGTTAATTCTAAAAATTTCAACTTTTCGTTGTTTCTGTCATAAAATATACATATTCAAAATTCTGTCTTGTGAAATAAAGTAAACTTTGCGCTGATATTTGTAGCTCATGTCAGAAACAACGAAAAAAAGTGAAACATTCAGAATAAACTAGTCACACTAACAATATTATTTTTACAAAGTTTTGAGCCAAAACTGAAAATCTAACTTTTAACATGATCTACAGACGACTACAAAATTTCGTTGAAAAACTTAGTAGAAATTTTATACCATAAGAATTAACGCCTAGCGAGTCCAATTATGCTAAATTTTTTCAATGCTCACCAACACTCGTCAAATAAATAGTTTTGATCTAGAAACGATTTAAAATCTGGAGAGATTCCCTCAAGAATTATCAACGTTGCTCGATAAAAAATCTAAAATTAGAAACTATTTATAAATGACTTTTAGAATCAAAAAATTGATTTAGAAGGCTAAAACACAAGGGGAGAACATGATTCTGTGATTTTGTGATCTAAAATGATTTAAAATGATTTAACGTGATTTAAAAATGATTTTAAATCATCTAAAATCAATTTTTCAAGTGATTTAACAAGATTTACAAATGATTTAATTTTGATTCTCAGATGATTTAAATCAGTTGTTTTCCCCTTGCTAAAACATGTATATATCTGAGCTCATATTGTCTATTAAAGAGTTAATCGATCTGAAAGATAAGTAATTGTTTTACAAGTCATTAGTATATTACTGGTAGTAGATTTGTAGTCCTATTGGAGCAGAAGAAACTTCAAGATGTGAATGCCTGTAGTATATTGTAAACATATAACGCCGCATAACTGCAAAATATCTAATGAATATAATTAGAATCTCAATACGAAACATACATTTTATTTATAGGACTCTATTACTGATGTTCATCTATTTTATCTAATTTGTAGTAACTGATACGAGATGATTGGTCGCTTGTAATCAGAATCCAAGATGCATTTAAATGCAACTCTTAGTAGCTTTAATGCAAGTTTCAACTTAGGTTCAGATGTCAAAAATCGATCTTGTTGCCTAGCTGTCTATTGCGCGTAACACTTCTAATATGTGTACTTTGTTCTTTTTTGCAGCTGTGGGTGTGGGTGTGTGGATGTGGGTGTGTGGGTGTGGGTGTGTGGGTGTGGGTGTGAGTGGGTGTGCGTCTGGGTGTGGGTGTGTGGGGTGTGAGAAAGACACACCCCACACCCACAGACCGTGACAGACACTCACGTGACCCATCACAGACCGTGACAGACACTCACGTGACCCATCACAGACCGTGACAGACAGGGCTCTGGACCCATCACAGACCGTGACAGACAGGCTTTGGACCCATCACAGAGCGTGACAGACAGGCCCGGGACCCATCACAGACCGTGACAGACAGGCTTTGGACCCATCACAGACC